CTGTATACACAAACGCTCCTGGAGGACACTATATATACACCTAGACAAATGATAAAAAATCATTTAGTATATTCTTTATTTTTAGATGATGTTCAATACACACAAATGAATTTCCCACGAGTTTATCAACACAGAGAAACGTACAGACAGAACCATGTTATGTACAGAATGAATTATTAACTTCAAATCTTAAACTTGACAAATCATCTAAAAACAGATCATATTTTCACTGGCTCTATGGATATATACATTCACAATTATATACACACAATATTTATCTTATTTGTATTGTAATATTCAGCATAATTATTGTAAACTAATGCAGTGTTCTTCAGGGTGGACTATCAATATAGGAGAGGGTACAGTACCTTTTGAAAGATCTAGTTAAGTTTTCTCTCTGCTCAAAACCCTGTTATCTCTTCTCTCTCTCGTTGTGTCTCCTTGAATATGAAGAATTTGAGAGAGGAGATCACAGAGAATCCCTCAGTAATTAGCACACCCAACAGGACAGGAGACACAGAGAGAGAGGAGATATCACAGAGAATCCCTCAGCAATAAACACACACAACAGGACAGGAGACACAGGGAGAGAGAGGAGATCACAGAGAATCCCTCAGCAATAAAGACACAACAACAGGACAGGAGACACACAGAGAGAGAGGAGACAGAGGAGGGAAGCAGAGCAGAGAGATCATTAGTGATCAAGTCAGTGTTTTAGCAGTCTATAGGAATGAAAGAGCAACAGGGGAGAGACATGGGCAGGCATGACTGGACAGGAGAGAAAAGGAGACCGAGAGAAAGGAGCAGGGCCGAGCTCAAAACTGCACCCAGTTTCCAGATGAAGACTCCGGGTTTGTGGTGGAGACCGAGCTGCAGAGACAGAGAGAGAGAAGACGTTAATGCAGACACTGGCTGGACACGCGACGCTGCTCCTCGGGGATTCTGGTTGTATTGTGCTGCAGCCCGTACGTACGTACCTGGCTGGAGAGGAGAACTCCCCCCACAGGTCGGCGCCCGGGTTCGAGAGGGACTGCGTGGGGATGGAGGAAGAGCCGTCCAGGTCCAGCAGACGCCCTGAGACAACGGCGGGGGGGAGAGACCAGTCAATACCGGAGAACAATGAGATACACTCAGCGTCATGGCAGGGCAGCTGTGACATCATCAAGAGAGCTGCTGTCCCTCCAATCAGGGTCGACTCTCCTGCGAGTCACTCTGGGGCAGGCAGGTCAGAACCGTTACAAATATCTAGCAGATCCAAAAAACAAAACAAAACTGCAACCTAATAATATTACTCAATAATATTAATAGTGCTTCAGTTCATTATGAACTTCACTAAAATGATGTTATTTTGGAATCATTTCCATTCCTCAGTTCAATCGAAAAAAATATTTTAGAAAGTAAAAGCAGGAAATGATAAAAACTTAATATTAATAGCGGCATCAAGCCCCTCCCACAAAGTACCTGTGTCCCCTCCCCCTGTGTGGGTGTGACCAGAACCCGTGGTTTCTGTGACGTGATTGGACAGGACAGTTGATGGGGGTGGGGCAATCTTGCCTCCTGGGGGAGGAGGGAGGAGCCCAAGGCCTCCTGTTCCCTGGGGTCGCGGCTTGTCTTTTTTCTTTGTTTGCTACAGAGAGAAAGAATG